GCGGGCGAACAATGAGGAAGAACTGCGCATGCGCAGAGGGAGCTGCGAGGACCAGTTCTCGGCGCCTCCTCCCAGGAATCCATCCAGTTCAGGACTCCGTTACCCATCAGTCTCCGAGCCCCTCTCCTTAGGGACAGTCTTTAGAAGTCCCGCCTTATTTGGTGAATTGGGTGATGGTTGTCCAAAATCATCTCTACTTTTCCTGGGAGCCCTGGCTCCCCCTAAACCTTCAGGAGCTGAAACTGGCTCCACCTGCAACCAGTGTCACTTTAGATTCAAAGCTGCCTTGAGAAAGACAGATGTATGTCAGCTGCACGTATGAAAACAAAAACATTTAACTAACTTACTAAAAAATACAGGCCTGCCGTACAGTGAAAGATTAATACCCACTACCAGCAAGTTTTCCCCAAGGAATGCAAGCAACATCTCCAAACTGGATTTCAAAAGCGACGCTCTAAAACTAGGTAAAAGGCCACGTACACAAAACTCAAAGGAAGATCAGATCAAAGGCAAACACAAGTTCCTCTCCCAGGAGTGACTGCGTTAGGTGATACTTTTATTAAACTAGGATCCTATTGCTTTGATCTTTCCCTTAAACATGTGGTTAATCATTTTCTTACCCCTTTTACCTTTTCATTTTGAAAAATTTCAAATGTAGAGAAAAGTTACAGGATGATTCATTCTGAACAAAACACCTGAATAAACTGTTTATTTAGATTCACAGTTGTTAATATTTTGCTACTTTTGCTCTCTCTCTTCCTCCCATCCTCTCTCTCTCTCTCTCTCTCTCTCTCTCTCTCTCTCTTTCCTCCAACTAAATTCAGGTTACACATTTCTTGGCATAATATAAGGGCCATTATGTTTTCAGTAAATCACACCAGATCAGTTTCATTCTCATGATGTCACTTAATCAACTGTTCCTCTTATGCCAATGATAGTAATAAGAAATAAGTTACATTCACAGTAGCATTCAGAGTTTAGGGCTAGATTAACAAAAATTAGGCAAAAATTGGGCAGAACTTACACAAAAGAAGTGATGCGAATGGAGACATGTACTGTTTTCCTAAATAGCAAGACACAACATTCTTCAACAAAATCCGATCAAAACTTTAGTAAGCTGAGTGATGTGACTTCTTTATTTTTTGTTTTATTTTACTTTATTTAACAGAACACATCTAAATTTTATCTGGAAGGAGAAGAAGAAGAACAACAGCAACAACAAACCACAGAATAACAGCCAGGTCTAAAAAAAACCCAGTATTTTCTATAATACATGAATATGTATAATATTAATATAAAATTCAAAAGACTGCCTCTAGCTCCTTAGAGGAGACAGACACAAACCCAAGAGTTCGTAAGAATTTAGAGTATGATGACGGGGGAATTTCCAAGTCGGGGAAGGGGAGAATGAGGTGGGCAGGAAACCATGTTAGGAAACTAGGCAATGGGTAGAGAGGGGATGAGCACGCCTCTCAGTCATACACGCTCTCACATAAATTTCATGTGGATTCTTGATTTAACATCTTACAGTAAACCACCAAGAACCTAGAGAAAACATAAAATAATTTTTTTATTTAGTCTCTGGGTAGGGATAGCAAGCTGTCGAATCATAAAAGAAATGACTACCAGATTTTACTCTAGAAAAATTTAAAACCTTACTTCCAGGGGGAAAAAAATCAAGTGAAAATCACTTGGAAAATATATTTGTTAAGTATGTGAAAGAAATGGTTTATTGACTTCATTTAATTATCTCTTACACATTTATAAGAAGATCACACTACCATAAAAATGATCTATGGATACAAAGAGGAAAGTAATAAAAGAAAAAATGCAAATGAGGAATAAATATATGAAAGCAACTCATAAACTACGAATAAAAAATGCAAATGTTTTTTGGCTTTACCATTGGCAAAGATTATAAAGAAAAATGATATCCAGGGTGAGCATAAGTTTGGGAAGAATTCAGTCTCATAAATTTCTATTTGGAAAATAATTTATAAAACAATTTAGAGGCCACTCTACCAAGACTTAAAAGGAGCATGCACTGCAATGTAGCAATTCTGGTATTAGAAATATGACCTAAGAAAATAATTGTCCAAAGATACATGTATAAGTACATTTCTTATAACTTATATTAACAGCAACACACTGTCAAAAATATAAATGTAAAGAAAAAAAGAATAGCTTGTAGCAATCTGTAAGGTGGGGCATCAGGTAACCATTAAAAATTATAATGCAGAGATATATGAATTAATATGGTGGAGAGTTTAAAATATATTTTCAAATAAAATACTCTTTACACAAGAATATAAGGCATTTACTTATTTTTTGCAGGTAAAAACCATACATGTGTCCTAAGGGTATAAAAACAAATATAAAAACCAAATGCAAGAACAAAATTGAACCAAAACAAATTAAAAAATATTTTATTCTCATACATTAACAGTAGAGCAGTCTATGCAAAGATTTTCTTTATAAAGACCAGCAAGAATTCAAAACCTGCATCATTCAATACTAATATCCGCATAGGAATAGACATATAAGAGGAATGGCATGTTCTCAGCATAAATTTACATCTATTGTGGAATATATCTGCTCTAATACTGTCTTTTTAATGTTCTCAGCATTAGCTCTGATGTTGTTTGAGTTTTTCACTAAATTAACTGCACAGTGCATTATGGTGTTTGTTTAAGTGTCTTTGTAGTATATTATAACATCTAATTTCCATTTCAACATAATTCGTCTTCGTGAATTTGTAAGACCCCCTTAAAAAGTACTACTATTTAATGAATGTTTTGATGAGACTAGTATAGTAATTAAGATATATTAAATTTTAATAACGGAATGTTAAAATAACTGTCAAAGTTACAAAATCATTCAAAAAATATTCTAAAGCATTAGTAACAGTGTGCTTAATCAAGAACACTAATGATCCTGGGCTTGACTACTAAATGTGTACCTTTTAGCTCATTTGCTAAGGTGATACAGTCAAACCTCAATAACATAGTTCACAGTTAGTGTGCGTTACTGCTGTAAGTTATGTGGTTCCTTACAATTTTTGAAATAAAAACAACAATGTGTAGACACTAACAATATATGTGGTCCTAGACAAGTCATGTACTCATTCTCCCCTAATTTTATTGTTATTTTAAGCAAGGAGTAAGATTTAGGCAACTTGCAAAGTTCACTCCAGTACTACCTTTCAGTTCCTCTGTAGCTAAGAGGAAACCCTTTTCTTCCTACTGGCCATAATTAAGGGGGAAATATCAGTCAGGTCTGGGAATATTTATGGTATGGGACCAGCCCAGAATCTGGGAAAAAGAAAATAGAGTTGGTGTGTATTTAGGGAGGAGTTGGTGAAGTTAGTGAGCTATTATTCCAAGACCAGATTTTCAAACATCCTACAATCCTATATAATAAAAGGCTAATATGCAAATCGACCGAATGGCGGAATGACCGACACTGTGCTGTGCACTGACCACCAGGGGGCAGACACTCAATGCAGGAGCTCATGGCTGGTGAGTGCAGTGGCAGTGGTGGGGCAGTGGTGGGAGCCTCCCCCACCTCCACGGCAGCGCTAAGGATGTCCGACTGCTGGCTTAGTGGGGAGCAGGCCTAAACTGACAGTTGGACATCGGCCGAGGGCTACCGGACTGCGAGAGGGTGCAGGCTGGGCTGAGGGACTCCCCTG